CGCGGGGGGGGGGGTGGCGCTGGGTTGGGAGCGGCGGCTGCGGCGGATGGGGCGGGGGGTAAGAGTGCCGGGGTCTCTCCCGGCCTTTCGGTCGCAAGGAATAGCAGTGGCAGGGCGGGCGGGGAAGAGGAAAGTGGGGCGGGGGACGCGAACATGGAAGACGATAGTGGTGATGCGTGACCGTCCGTGGCCTGGTTTGTGTGCCTTGTTTTCTAAGATGCGAGCGCGTGCGGGTGGGTGTTTTTTATTGCACATGGTGAGATGGTGTTGTCTTGTGCGACAACTACTGCTGTGGACGCAGACGGCCTCCACCCATGTGTGTCATTTGGTGAGTCGTGTTGGTGTTTCCCTGTACCGACTCTCCAGGCAGATGGAAAAGGGGTATACAAAGAAGTTGAACCGTCTCACGATGTCGATTGTGGACTAGGACAGCAGCGTGTCGGTGTTGGAAGGTTTCTGGCCTTGTGGGGAACAATTTTTGGGCATGTCACCTGCTTCCAAAAGCTGACTGTTTGGGGACGTTCTCTCTTCGCCCGCGCGCGTTTGTGTTGATATATCTGGGTCCTTATTTTTCTCTTCGATTATTCGTTGTATGTATTTGCCCTCTTTTTGGATGTAATGTAGTTAGCCTGTGACATCGGAAAGCGTGCACCGTTAGTCGGATCAGTACGGATGCTGTTAGAATGCACCGAGCAGGGATCGGAGAGGTAATCTTAGTGTGAAACCAGCACCATTATTCCGTGCTCAAGTTGGGACTGTTTTGGAGGTTCAAAGAGAGGAGAGAGGGTGGTTGATCAAAATGACGGGGCTTCGTGTCGAACGTGTTGCGGAGGTTGAAAAAGAGGAAGGGGGTAGTGATCAAATGGCGATCATACGATTGCGCCACACCTCACACCCCACATATATAATCGATGATGATGATGATTATGATGAAGACGACGTGCAAGTGTACTCGTATCTACTGTTCGACGGCGCATCCTGAACGATTGGGTGCGTCAGTAGGCCCGGCCGATCACCACCCCGTTGTGTCAGTTCAGTATTACCGTATGTAACCTGTGCATTGTTTTTACGTACGTGGTAGAGCCCGCCTCGTCACCCTTGCCTTCAAAAAGCAAGTGCAGGAGATCTCTTCTCTCACCACCACCGACCGAACGCCCGCCGCGGTTTCAGCTCATTTTCGCTCTCTAGCTCTTCCCGCACAACTGATACTGAAAAACACTATCCGCCAGCGTTAACACCGAACAGTAAACACAAAAACATGCACCATGTTGCAAAAAAGGCACAAGATCTCTAGACAAAACAACAGCTGGTACAAGCCTCGAACTTACGCAAGCGAGCAGGCGTGATTCAAATCGCCGATCACCCACCTCTACCTTACCACACCACCATGGCCCTCTGAAGTCCCAAACCAGTTACCATAGAGGCAACGTAAAACAAAAGCGAAAATCGCACGCAGCAAGCGAAATCAACAATTCAATGCAAACATGACGCGGCACAAGATGCGCTCACGCACAGACACAAATTCACAGTCGCCAAAGTACACATTCAAGAAAGGAACCACAGACGAAAGTCACTTTGTATCTAGCCAGCTCGCGCCGCTAAGTATAGCGTAGTTTCCCCGAAAGGGAAAGGACAGCACCGGCTACATTGATGGACAATCAATGAACTTTGCCAATCGTTGCGCACCCACCCCTGAGTTTTCTAGTTCACCGCATCTCTGGCGCTGCTAGTACCGAAGTCAAAGGCGGACACCGAACGACCAATCTTGTGCCCCAACCGTTTTGTGTCTTTCGGGATTGTTTGGTCCTCCCTGTCCCCCCTCCCGACCCTCTGCTTATACAAGCACAGTGGTCCACTGGAAAGAACGCACCTTCTTCTATCGCCTATCGCAAACCACCATACAGATCGGAACACTGCAACACCACAAACGCAGCAGCGGTGGCGGCGGGGGGCGGCAGGGGGGGGCGTGAGCCTCCTTTGTACGTACACCCATACATGCATATGCGTACCCATCTGTAGAATCCACGGTACACACCACTGCTATACAACACAAGCGGGACAAAAAAGCCGAATCCCTTAACAGACTTTTCCCCCCAAATTCTGGAGCCCCCCAGCAATACTACACCCGCTCCCCCCCTCCCACCCCGCCCCAACACACACGACACGTGTTTTACTTTTTTCTTTTTTTCACAGACAGCCGTGCCTGCCTACTTCTCCTGCGTTGCGTGCGCGCTGGCAACACCGCACGCCCCGCCGTCAAGCTAAATCGGACGTATATCCCTACGGAGCTTCTCAGCGTCTACAGGTCCCCGCCAAAGATGCGTCGCTCAGCCGGTGTTTTACCCCACCATCGGTGCCAGTATTAGCTAAAACGGCACGTGCTCAACACACCGGAAGAAGACCTGGCGCCTTCTTGTTGGCCACGCCAGTTGACCGCGGCAGACGCTTCATTCATGCACAAAACATTCACGCCGTCCAGTACAACGGACATGAACAAAATCCTCATCATCAGGCGCTTATGAGGCCAAAAAAACAGAGAGACGGCACCACGATTCTTCGGCGAGCCGGCCGTAGGCACAAGCCTCCTGGGATGCCGGTCCCGCCGATGCTCGTCATGAACTTCGACCTGTCGAGAACCCATTTCCCTATGCTCACCAACTGATTCAACACAAAAAAACATCCCTGCTCGGGGAACCGAGGGGATATGGAAAAACAAAAACAACAAAGAAGGGCACGCCACTTAGGCACCAACAATTCTGCATATTTATGGCAGCAGTACCTTCACGCCGCACCACATCTCAACACTGACAACACCGCCTTGGGAGGCATGGAATAACAATGGTGTGTTTGCCAATAAAATCTGTCAAGCTCGTCTACAACAATCGAACATTTCTGTAGCACGAAAAATCTAGCAGGGAAGGGGCCTCCGCCCTGTGGCCACAAGCGTGATGCGCATTTTTTCGCGGAGGGATGGGACAAACACCACCCTGCAAACGCCACAACTTGCGTAGTCCCCTGCTCCTGCAAGCCAATATCTTATGCTTCGCTGTCCTGACCATGCTGCTGCTGCTACTGCTGCTGCAGATGTAAATCTTCCCGACTCAGAGAAGGAACACCACCCCCCCGCAAGCCCCGCGACCGCTCGACAACCGCGTCGCCAGCAACCGACAAAAAAAAAACGCTTTGAATCTAGTCGACAACCGTCCCCACCCCCGCCCGCTCATTGAAAGCCTCCGCACGCAGCTATCACCGCTATGTACCCGTTACGACGAATCCCCACTACACACCGGCGTCACCCAATGGTGTCCGTTACCGTTCACCTCCACCTCCGCCACCCCTACGAGAGCTACTGGAACCTGAACACCGTCTTGGCGGCGCCATTCTTGTCCCCCGCGACAACACCATCAGCTTTGTCTCCGCCGCCAACCCCCGTCCCCGCCACCGTGTTCCCGCCCTTCTTCAGAACCGCCGCCGCCGCCGCCGCCGCCGCAGCTTCCTGCGCGCGTGCCAACTCCCGCGAGTTCGCCACGGCCTCCGCCGCCAAGGACCCCGCCCTCGACTCCTTCGCCAGGAGCTCCGCCCGCGCGACGGCGGTCTCCGCCTTCCCGACAGCGTCGGCCACCGCCGTCGCTACTGCCGCCTTCCCCGCCGGCGCCGGGAGGACACCACCGCCACCGCCGCCGTTCTCGCCGGAGGAACCGGCACCGGCATCAGCGCCCGCAACGGCGGCGGCGTCGGCGGCCGCCTGCGCAAAAAAGACACACATACCAAGAAAAGAGGGCCTCGGTGAAGGGAGAACGGCGAAGAAAAAAAAACGCTTGTGGTTTCCAAGGCAAACGCGGGCCGCTGTAAACCGCGCGCATTGAGACGGCATGTGCTGCTGTAGAAAAGGGCGGGCGGCCTGGTATAGAGAAGTCCTCCTCCTAAAGGGACGCAAACCGATTGTTTTTCTTGTCTGGCTTCCATCTTCGTGGATTCTTTCAAGGTTTCACAACCAAGATCAAAGCTTTCATCCCGCCAATTTTGCGGCACGAGCACCCTGACATGACTATTTTTCTTGTCCCTCCCATCGCTCAGGGTGAAGAAGAGGCCGGCGCAACGACATTTTTCTTTTCTAATTCCAGCCTTACCTTGTCCCAGCGCTTGGTGTCGGCAAGCAGGCTCCGCGCCTCATCGCTCATGGCGCCGGCCAGCACCGCGATATCGGACAGAGCGGTCGCTGCGGCGGCCGCCGCCGCCGCGCTCGCCTTCGTCGGCTTCCCCCCCGCCGCCTCCTGCTGCTGCTGCTGCTGCTGCTGCAGTCGGGCCTTGTGGCGCTGTGCCGCCGCCGCCGCTTGCTCCGTCTGCACGGCGGCGACCTCCGCCCTTGCCGCCCTCCGACGGCGGGGGACCTTCGAGGCGGGGCCAAGGAACGGGTGCTCGGCGGCTGCCGCAGCCGACATGCGCCTCGCCGGGGTCACTCGCAAGAGCTGTCAAAAGCGGAGACGAGGAACGGGGTGGTGCGGCAGTTGGGAAGCACGAGGGGTCACAACAACGTTGGTGGGAACGATATGCGAGCTTTGCAACCCTGCCGAAGCAAAAATGACGGACAGCAAGCATTTTTCGGCCCTCCCGGGGGGGGGTACCTAGGTGTGCGCGACGGCTTAGCACGGCGCCACGTATCGGCTATGCACCATGCATGGAATCGCCTGGTGAAACAAGGGCACCGCAGTCCTACAGCACAACAGCGGCAGCATGGAGAAACAGACGGCAAGGTCATCATCCGCCCTCTGCAAGCAACGCGCGCCAACACGAAGGGGGGTACTGTCGCAGAACAGCGGCGCAAGGCACGATTGCAGCAGCAGCAGCAGCAGCAGCAGCAGCAGCAGCAGCAGCAGCAGCAGCAGCCGTGTCCGCGAGGTCCAGTACCATTACGGAGAAAAAGCAACCCGGAAACGAACAACAACGCCCACCCCCAAGCATCTCTCCCGCACAAGACAAACAACAAAATATAACTCCCGCGCCCCGCACACGCACACGCGCAACACTATGCCACACCTGCGAGATGAAGTCCGCCACGACCCCCCCCACGCAGCCCTCCTCCACCTCGTAGCCCCCGCGCACGACGGCCTCCAGCAGCTTCAGCTGGTCCTGCTCCCGGTGCCCCCGCCGCCTGCGCCCCCCTCCCCCCCCCCCTCCCGCTCCCCGCCCCCCGCCCCCCGCGATGCCGTGCCCCTCCCCCGTCCGCCTCTCCGCCTGGTACTCGTCGTTCTCGCCGCCCTTCCCGAAGAGGAGAGCCTGGTGCGCCTGGCCGGCGAGCCAGGCACGGTCCAGGCCGCCGCCGGGCGCCGGGGGCGCGGAGCGCTCGAACATGCGCTTGTTGACGATAGAGCCGCTGGACTCGCTGACGCTCAGGGTGCCGCCTTCCCCCGTGCTGCCGCTGCCGCTGCTGCTGCTGCTGGTCGCGTCGTGGTCGCTGTATCCGCAGCCGTCGGTCTCCCGCCGCCGCCGCCGGCTGCCGCCGTTGGCTAGTCTGCTCCTGTTGTTGGCGTTGCTCTTTCGGACGTAGTCCTCTCGCACGACGCCGTCCCACGAGCGAGGGACCACGAGCTTCGGGCTGCGGACGACGCAAGAGGGCGAGAGAGGGAGAGGGAGAGGTAGGGAGGGAGAGAGCGAGAGACAGAGGGTCAGAGAGTACAGAATGGGAGGGAGATACAGCGACAGGGACAGAGAAATAACGGGAGAGAGTTAGAAACAGAGCAAGAGCGGGAAAGAGTAAGAGAGGTCGCGAGGGAGGGAAGCGATATCGGCGTTTCGACAATTTTGGGCGGCCGCTGCCTTTCCGGTCCCGACTTTTTTCGTTTGTCCACGGTTCAACAATGTATGTATTCTATCTACCATGGTAGCGTGCTTCATGTTCTGGGTCGGCGTGTAAATATCGGAAGCCCACCATGGCGGTGTTGTCCGAGTTCGAAAGCAACAAACCGTATACTGACAACAAGACACACAACAGCCCCAGGGAATGTAAAAAAGAAAAGAAAAGAAAAGCAACGGGCCGTTGTGAGCGAGCGGTATGTACCACGCCGTCCACCGTCCACGGTATGGAACAGCGGGAAAAATCAAGAACCCGGAAGTAAAAATGAGGGGGGGGGGGGGGGGGGGGGG